ATGTTTAAGGTTATAAATGTGATCAATTTTTTTTTCGCAATATCCGTTTTAATTTATAAAATTTTCAATTTATAATACGATACATCAAGTTATTCCCTATAAAGGGTTGCGCAATAGTCTCGGATTTTATACTTTTTCACTAGAAACTAAAACCGGCTTTATTGAGAAACTGTTGATCAGATATGAATGTATGGCAGGGTAACATTTTTAGAATGATATATTATTTTACAAAACGTCTATTTTAAAAATTTTGTAAAATGTGTTTTTTCTTTTTAGCGTTTGAGGACATTTTATCTAAATGGTCCTTTTTTTTAAAAAAAAGATCAAATTTAAAAAAACTAAACAAAAAAAATTGAACATTAATAGCTCTGGAAAAATCCTTCGAACACCCTGTGTGTATACATACGCATTTACTTGTTTATATTATAAAACCACATTTTTAACCGCCTTTCAAACGAGTCCGTATATTAAAATGTGTATATACTTCGCCGACATTATTATTATTATTATACAGTTTTGAGCCGGTCGCCACAATTTACGCGCGTTTTCCCGTCCGTTTTCTGCCGTCCTCGTCGTCAAAGAACGCCGCCGCCGCCACCGCCGCCGCGGCCGTGGCCCTTAATTAACTGTACTCGTATATATACGTACATTCTTCGGGTATAATAATAACTATACCGGCGGTTTCGTTTGTTTTTCGGGGTTTTACAGCGAAATAATATTATATAATATAACGGGGCGCGGTTTAGACGCACGCGGGCGGAACGGATTATACGACCGGCGCAGACCGTTAGAAAAAACCAGAGAAAAAAAGCTTTCAGTGGCGGTTTCTTTTTTTTTTTTTTTAATTTTTTTTTTTGTCGACAAACACAGCCGCTACAGTGACACCGGGTCGCAGATGTACGCGCGCGGACGTCGTCCGCGGGCAAAATAAATAGAATATAACGGAGACGATTAGCGCGACGTCACAATATTATGTGATAACAATCATTATCACGCGTACGATTTTATCCCGACAAATCAAAAATATACCTGCTGTTATAAAATATTGTGTAAATGTAAAGTGACTTGAAAATTATTATATTCTCCATTTTAAGTATTGTCTATACTTGCATATTTATTTCATCGCTAAAACTTGAGTGATTTTTAAGTAATATAGGTAATAGTAAAATATTAAATTGCGAATTTTCATATTTAAATACAATACAATAATTTTACGTACGTTTTTATAGGACTATTTAATCGTTCGAAACCGAATAATTAAATTAGTACTGATCACAAATTGATAAGAAGCACGTAACGTAGAAACTAATTGTCTTTATTATATAAAATACTATCTACGAAATTTTTTATTTTTAAATCGTAAATATTACGGCCTTTTAAAATACGTATAACCAAACTCCGCTCAGAATCGTCTTAGCAAAGAGTATCCGTTGTGCTCAGATATAAATTAAATTCCCCTTGATATTCCACCTTCTCAACTTTTCATCTACAACAGTGGCCCGCCCACCCACCGTGCGAAATATGTCCATATCATTTTTGATATGATACGAACTTTGTAAGTCCGTAGAGGTTCTAAAAAAAAAAAATCCTAACATAAAAATCATGCGAAGAGTTTTGAAAATGAAATAACGACGAAAATATATATAATAGTTACATGATTACATAATGATTTTATTTGATTGCAAATTAATTTAAATACACACATTTAAAAAATAGCTAAATAACGTCAAATAAAAAAAAAAGAACATTTTTTTAGAAATTATAATCACCAAATGAAAATGTTTGCATATAAAAAAGTATTCGGTGCAAATTTCAATGTATGTTTTGACGAAAACCGGTCGCGTGGGTGTTACGGAAATTGTCTCAGTTTATTCCAAGTTTTCTTAGGTAACACTAGAATTACACTAAACTGACACAAGGCATTTTGTAGAAAAAAAGGAAAATCTAAATTTAAAAATTCACTTTGATATATTAAAGTATATAAATCTGTGGCTTGGTGCAAGAAGGGCTAATGTCACAGTTTGTGATTGTTGGGAAATGGGTTTTATAATTTTAATTTCCATAAGGCTCCGTGTATTTTATTAAATGTAAATGTTTGTGTGATTTTTCAATTTTTACAAAAACTTAAACAATTCTCATTTAGAAAATAAAACATTTTACACCTTTTTCTTTTTTTTATTTCTAACTGATTTTTTCAAAAAATTGACAAAAATATGGCACTTCTTTTACCAAGCCACAGAAATATGCATCGAAACAAAATGCTGGCGTTACGAATATGTTTTTCCAAATTATTTACTCGTTGAGTTTATAAAAGTTTTTTGACATTTACAAAAATTGTTGAAAAAATAATTTTTCTTAGACAAATTCGTGAATCGATAATATTTATTAGTGGCCATAAAAACAAATAAAATTATCGTAAACTTCAAAAAAATTGTAGAGAATTAACGACAATTCATAATTTTTAAATCATATAATTGCCTTTTATAATACGTTTACAATTTATACATCGGCTGTCTTGGTACTTCAAAAACAATTTTTTCAAAAGGACTTGAATTGTTCACTTTTCATTAAAAAAAAAAAAAAAAGAAATTATATATCAAAGGAATCATAAAGAAATGTTCACAAATTATTACCAGAAAACAAAAAAACCTATGTTGAAACAGAACAAAATTTATTTCAGGTTTCAGATTTTCGTGTTACTACCTATACATATCTATTTACTCGTAATATAAACAGACGCAATTCGTATAGTATAATATAGTTGGTATTTTCAAGAAAATTTGGACGAAAAAATCACCCCTCAAAACAACGACGACGATGTCAACGACGTTATATTGTATTCTTGAATAAATAATATTATGCAAAATCGTTACCGTCGTCGTTTCGATCAAACCGCGACGTTTTATCAAAAAATAAAAAATATGCTAATTTCGTTGTATATTTTTTCCGAATATAATATTATAATGTTATATGACAACAACGTTATTTTTTTATAGTATAGCTGTAGGTATCTACCTAACAAATAACTGGATGATTTTTTTTTGTCTTCTGAGAAAAAAAAACGATCGATCGGGATTAATAATACTCGTGGAATTTATTGCAATACGACAAAAAAAAAAAAAAACCGTAAAAAAAATAAATAGACGATATTCTTTATCACGCGTATGTCTAACATATTATATTATTGTTATTAAATATTTTTTTTTGAATTATGACGATTTTACAGAAGAACGCACGTTTGCCGCCGACAAAAAGCTGATTTATCGCTGGGACGAGTAAGTTTTATATATTTTACGTCGTCGTTTTCCCGAAATAATAATAATATCGCAAAATTAAAATCGTGGGCGTATACCATTGCAACGGTGTTATCTATAGTCCACGTATACGGACGCAATTTATCTTTCCCATCTCTGGTGCCTTCTATTATGCGCATTTTTTTTTTTTTGTTTTCTCGTCGGCAGATATTTTGTGACCAGCAGCGTGTTTCGTCGGGACAGGGGAAAAATTTAATTTGTATTTTGTATTTAAATCTAATATGTACGTATGTGAATGGAAATAAAGAAGGGTGTACTTCGCGTAATAGTACAGGTAGTCTAGGTGGGAAGGTTAAGTACTTACAAACGAAAAACGATTCTGAGCATAGTAGTATAGTAGCTTTTTCCCTTGTTGCCAAGTTCATAGCCCTGCAGATATTAGCCAAAATTAATTAAACTCCTCAACAAAAATGTATATATGGACGAACTGTTGTAAATGTCGATAAACATTTCAAATAAATATAATAGGTAAGCATGGAGCGAAAAATTTGCATCTTTTGAGATATGGCGTGAGAAAATCTGCGCTTTTTACTATAGTTAAAAAATCAAAAACAAAAAAAGTACACATGTTAGTAGAACATGCTTTTCCATGACTTAGGGTATTTAGATTAGGCCATTTAGTAGTTATACCATTGTGCCATTAATTATGGTATTAATGATTTTCAAAATTTAATTTGTTTTTGTCAAAATTGACTGTAGTCTTTTTTTCTTTGGGATCAAATATATAATAACCGTTGGCTTGCGATTAAAAAATATCGCCCTATATATTGGATTAGGTTATTTTTTGTGTACAGAAATTTACTCAAGGACAAACGAAAAAAAAAAAAAAACCGCACACAATTATTGTGGCGGCGTTTTTATATTTTCACGAAATTAAATCTCAAATTCAATTACGCGTCCGGCGTCCGGGGGCGATGCCGTTTGATATAAATAATATAAAACCGAGACGTTTTTACGAGAAGCACGTTGCTCGAACTGATACCGAAAAATGTTCATTCAATATTAGGTCAGGTTACACTATTACACATTTAAAACATTCTAAGTTTAATTATAAATGAATCCCTAAATGTAGAGAGGGCACATGTTAAATTTTTTAAATTTTCCAATAAAGAAAAAAAATTTCACATTAATAAGTAATGTCATAATATTGCATAGTGTTAGATGATGTCTCCATCATCTATATTCTTTAATAATTCAACGACATATTATAAAACTTTCAACTGCTTATTGAGTTTATTGTCATTCTTGAAAAATTAAAAAAACTGCGACATGCCTTTTCAGTTATACCTATTCTCGTTTTTCAGGATCTCTCTCATAGGCGAATAAAAGAAGGGGTCATTTCCCCCCTTCGCGGCTATTTAAAAAATACAATGTTCTTGTACAAAAATAGGGGAAATATTATTGGTATCTTCGAAAAATGTTTCATATAAATAACTACCATATCTTTTAGATTACTGCATGCAAGAACCAATAAATTAATATTTTAGTTTTAATGTATCGAGTATCTAGTGTCTAAATAAATAACATTTAAGTGCAGATTATTTTGTATTACAATACTTAAGTGTATAATAATTGTTTGTTACATAAGTATTTTACTTAAATACTGTAGATATAGTCAAACGGTGACGGCGGAATAGGGTATATTTTGAAGCAGCTGCTTCATGATTAATAATTTAGATAAGTGTATGTGTGATACTTTATCATAATATACAAGTATGTTAACAAAAAAAGGTGAAGTTCTGCAGGCATATCTTATAGTTATGCAGTTCTTGATTCGTCTGGGCTTGGATTATATGAGGTTTTTCGCAATTTTACTGAAACTACTTTATAAAGAAAAATAAATTCACGTGCTACCACTGAAGTCCAAGTATAGTATTCGGTCGTTTTCACATAAAAAGTGACAGAGCGTGATACTGTACGGTTGAATAGTGTAGAAAAAGCAACCAGCCGCGAGAATTCAAAATACATTGAGTTATAATGCGGCCTGTTGTATTTTGGACAGAGAATTTTAAATAACATCTTGAACTTGCGTTTGACATCGCAGCTATCCCTGTCTATCTAAACAAATTCGAGAAAATATCTAGCGATTAGAGGGTTCCAAGTATCTACTTTCAGAAGTACTAGGAACTCGATAGACTTATTTATATAGATTTTACATACTTGATTTTGGTGTTAAATAAATAAAATAAAATACATATAAGAAGCCTTACCGACAATGTCTACCTATCTTTAGAACGATTTTTTTTTTGGGTACATTAAATTTCTGTTATTGTACGATTCCATTTCCAAATAAAGCAAATTTTCTAATGAAAATTATGTCTGTGTTTATTTTGGCGCCAAAATCACCGGTGCCAAATTCACTTGAAATCTCGCGCGGGAAATTGTGATCAAGTACATAAAATTACTCTGTATACGAACGACATAGATGCGTATAGATATAACGTATATTATAATATAGGTGTAGCGACTCGATTTACATTTTCCGTCCGCGGGAGATTATAAAGGAGCGTAATTAGCTTGTTCAGACCTTGCGTTCTCGCGTATTTGATTAATTACACACCCTCTCGAGAGACTATATATATATATACATATTATAATATTATAATAATATATCGGTTGCTGCAGGTATTAAACACACACACACACACACACTGCATAATGCACGTCGATTACGACTCTATTATTAGTACGTCTAGTATATACGATGCATATTATATAAACATAATACATAATTCGATGGTTAGAAGGTAAAAGGGCGTAAACGTTCATTTTTTTCAAATTTAATTTTTTGCATATTGTCGTAAACGGCAAGATTCCAGATCGATTAATTCAACCTAAACATCGATATCACTTATTTACTATCTATTAAAATTAGATGATAATATGTGGTCGTAAACGTCATAGAATTGAAGGGATTGAACAAATTAGGTGTAAATGTTAATTAAAAGACTTAAACGGCATTCAGTAAAACATGATAAGACGAAAGCGTTATTGTTGGCGGTTACGTCAATTTATAACTTAGTGTAGTCGTTTTGTTAGCACTGTAAAAAGCGATAAGCGGCATTGAATAATGATAATTAAATTTAATATAATCAAAGTTTTAACGAAACACAAGTTACACGTTAACGTGACTGCTGATATTTGAAAATTAATAATATTCAATAGGACATCTTGAGTGCCATTTTTTTTTATATTGGCTATTAGTTATGAAAAATCAATTCATAAAAAACGTATAAAAACCCATTATGTTTTTTATTAAATCTCAAAAAGATTTGGTATTTGATGTTCTAAGATACTAATATAATTTATTTGAAATATTATGTTTTTCAGCTATCTTGAACAATTTGGTTTTTGGCGCTTACGCCATTTTACCTTCCAACCATAATAATATATGATATATATTTATTTAATATACATAGATAATTTGTCGACTTTATAATACTAATACTAAATATGGCTTTATCCGTGCACCTTATTGAAGGAAAAAAAAAACTAAAAATGTGTTTTTCCGTATTTCCCAGTTTCCAATCAACTCAGTTAAAATTTGATGCCCGCTAATTAATTTCTCAGTAATGTTAGGTACTTTCTTGCCTAAATAAATTGTCTAATAGTAGTTTTTTTTTTCATTCATCCGTGTCACTAATATATAACCTATAATTGACTAAAATGTAAGGTCTAATCGAAAAGTTCCAAAAGTTTCGAGACTGATAGTGTTACTAGTAAACTGGTTTTTACATAACTGTCGACCTCGTAAATGTTGAAAATACATGCGTAGTAAATATACTTAGATTAAACTTGAATCAGTCGGTAACTAGATGCTATTAAGTAAAATGTGTTTTTATGTCTTGTCGGATTATGAGCGTAAATCTAGAACAACGCGTGTGTATTTTATTTTGCCATTAACTTGAGAAAACTGCCAATGAAACCTATCAAATGTTATGTGTGGCTTATAACTTTTAATTAAAAATGTTCGTATAGAAAATACCGAAAAACATTTGAGAGGCACACTTAGTGGATAAATTTCGAAAACCCAGCTTTGAGGTACATATACGGACTACGGACTCAAGGATATTAGTTGAAGGAAAATAGAAATATCTAGCGGTCATATAATCACTGAGGAGAATATATAATTGTTATTTCTTATTATCTCTATTCTTTATTTGATATAATTAATTGATTGATGATGTGTTATTTCAAGTTTCAATTGGTACATATCGTAAAGTAAAAAAAAATGTTTTTTTTTTTTTTTATATCATTTTGTCCACAATATTAGACTCCTAGTAAGGAATGTCTTTTTGCTCAATAACGACTATTAGGTCTGTGACACGGAACCATTCACCCATTTTTGTACGTATATTTTCAGACCATTGCGTGCGATCGATTCGTCTTTACATCGCGTACAAAGAAACAAACAAACAGACAGACATTTCCTTTTATTAATAAAGAGAAGATTATAGATAATCAGTGTATAACGAATAATGTTCAATATATGGGATAGAATAGTTTGGACGAGAAGCGGTGGCATATTTATAGCTTTATTTTTTTAACATCCTTGGTCTAATTGTTTTTATCATTCAGCATACCAACAGTCGTAGTTTGAAATAATAATAATAATAATAAAAACTACTATATTTTTAATTTGTTTTATTTCAAAAATCACTGTACGTAATTGAATACTTCAACCATTTTTTTCGGCAAACAATGAAAAGAAAATCAGTTTAAAACAATTTGACAAGGCAGAAGAAAATATAACGTCGTCGTCGTCGTTCTAAAAAAAAACAACACTTTTTATGCGTCTCAGTGTATATTGTTTTTACTTTTATTATTATTACTATCGTTATTTATAGTAGGTAGTTTTTTTTTTTTAAGAGGATGAAGGTAAACAGCTACGATTTCATATTATTCGCATCCTGGCTTTTGGTGATCTACAACTAACTTCGGTTCACTGGCCGGTGATTATTAATTTTCTCGCGTGGGCTACAATTGTAGTTTTTATGAAGTACGCGTGGGAGTCAATTATACAATAATATTCCTGTGGATTTGACCCCCGTAGCGTACCTCTTGTTTATTACGAGTGATTATGCCAAATGCGTGACAGTTGTTATTGGTTACGTTATGTTAATACAAATAAAAAAGGCATGAGTCAATAATAATTAACTTATACAAATTAAAAACCGATATAGACGTAATAATAATTCAACCTGTGGGTAAGACTCTGTAGTGAAAAGTGTGTTAGTTTATATATATTTTTTTATAAATATACACTAAGAAAAACAATGATAAACCGTATGGTAAAAAAAATAGATTTCGTACGGAGATCGTTGTTGTTTTCCCCAGTGTAAAGCCAAGAGAGCCCTGTAGTAATTAGATCGAAAAAAAAAATGTTAACAAAAATCCCTTTTACAGATGGATTTTTTTAATGAATTGTTTTCTGAACTATAACATCTCAGAAAAACAATACAAAGAAGGCTAGATGTTTTTGAAATAAAAATATTATGAGAAGAATTTTTGGACCATGAAAGAATAGCCTAGGTAACAGAGAATAAGACATAATTGAGACCTCCAGTATATTTTTTAACTCATTAGTATCACATACACAATTTCAGTGATAAGAATGAAATTTATAGGAAATGCATGGAAAAAGCAGATATCAATCAATCGTCAGGACTATAAATTAAAATAACTCAACGGGAAAACGACCACTAGAAAGAGCTCATATCATTGCAGTCGTATACATATTTTAATATATCTAGATAAAGCTAGATGAAGATAATTGATTCATAATAATTTAATTGTCTAGAATAAAAAAAAAAAAAACATATTTTCGTTAATTAAACAAGAACTGTAAATTGTGTATCATAAAATATAATACGAATACTAAATACGAAGTGCTATAAATAGATAAAAAAAAGTATGCCAAAGTTTGTACATACATATAGATTCAAAAGAGAGGTGACAGAGGGTAGAAATAGATGGATGATTATTTTCGTTACCACGTGAAAAAGAATATAAAGAATTTTCTGATCGAAATAGCGCGAAATAACAGTCTCCCGTAAAGGAAAAAAAAACAGATTTGTAAAATATGTATGCATTTCTTAGTCCGTTCAGAGTCCAGAGATAATGATAATTAATCGATACATACTCGCAATATATATTATTAGACCGTTTTATGTACTTACACGCTCGTATATCGTTCTGTAATCGAATATATTGCCGCATAAAGCATATTCTTTGAGTTATACATATATATATATATTATATGAAATGTTAACGTCTCGCCGTATGATAAGTTGGCCGACCAGATCCAATGCGATACGTATAAAATATATTATACATATAAGATGCCGTGAGTTGTAAGTCCAAAATGCCAACCCGTTTTGGCCGGATTCCAAATTATAAAACGTTTACCGGCGATGATACACCGCAGCGGAAACACATAGTACTATTACAATAATAACGAATCCGGACGATTCGCTAAAAGGGGTCGCGTTACTTGTCACGGGCCAAGCAACAATTGGTCCACGCGAATTATAATAATATACGATTATGTTTCGGGATATTTCGCCAGCCTGAAGAAAACGATTAGCCACGTATTATATTCATAATTAACGCACGGTGTTTAAAAAAAAAAAAAAAAAACGAAAAACGATTTATTTCGAACACAATATTTTAACAAGCGATAACCGCGTATTTTATATATTAAGATAATACTAAAATGACAATACGTGACATTCGCGGCCAAACGCGAGACAAATTTTGTCTCGCGAAAACCGAGCGGTGACCTATAGGACACGGCGTTTCTACATATGAACTTTTTTTTTTTTTTTTTATATGTGCTCAATTTTTTCTACCCAAAGACTTGCTCGGATTTTATACGTGTAGCTGATTTTCTGAAAAAAATTGGCATGAGGAGGTACTTTAGGAAGGTCATTTTTCGATTATCTTAGTTTTCTCATAAAATTCGGAAAAACCGAAAAAAAAAAATGGGGAAATTTACGATTTTTTTTTCTGTGCACAACTTTTCTACCAGCAATTTTACTCCAAAATTTAATGACAGCAATGTTTTTAAACGGAAGTTTCACTAGGGAGGTACTTTTGAGAGGTAATTTTTTGATTTTCTCAAGAGTTTTCCCAGCAAATGTGAAAAACCAAAATAAAATATGGGAAAACCGTAGGAAAACTGGGAAAATTGGTACAGCATTAAATAAATTTTATTAAAGAAAATATATAAAGCCTATTTAATTATTTTACTACAAAATAAAATATATATATTGTTGACAAAGCACCACTTTAAACTGTACTCCGCTTAGAATCGTTTTTTCGTAAGCAATGTTTTATCGTTGCTCACAGATATTAAATTCCCGTCTATATCCTACCTTCTTAACGTTCCACCTATACCAGTGGCTGCACCAGTCCCCATTATCTTACCTTGTTTTTTTTTTTTATCGTTGAGTGTTACGAATTGTCATCATTTATAGTATTTGGTAATGATAAATTGCTACGCCACACGTAAGTCGAGCAATTGAAACGCCAGAAAAACTTATGCCTTTACCGTTTTTGCATCGCTCCGTGTCCGACGGCCATCATTATTAGTCGAGTACATGCGTTTATTGAAAGTCGTTGAAATAAATTGCATTTAATAAACCAACAATAAAATCGTGCTGCAAGTTATCTTCGTAGTTATGGCGTTGAAAAGTGAAGAAATTAGGTATCTGATGGATTTTTACTTTTATTATTGTTATTATTATTATTATACACTTAATCAATACGATATCGAACGGAAAATATCGATTACGATTTGTGATTCCAGGACCCGATTGACAAAAACGGCGCTAAACCTGCTTTATTTCGAAAGTTGGTAAATCAAATAATATCGACTATTAGAATATTAGAATTAAGTTGGCTTGACGTTTACATACACACTTAAATACACACATACAACATATACACATGTATATGACGATGGTTCTTTAAATTATTTTGTTGTCCGTCGAATAGTCTATTCGATTTAATATTAAATTTATATCGATTACGTTGCAACCTGTCAGCTAGGCTGAGGAATAAAAAAAAAAAAAAATTTACTACAAAAAAAATTGTTAGTAAATACAAGTGATTATAATATTGTAGCATTAAGAAAAATACTGTTATATAAATATTGGTTATAATGTACAGAGTTACTGAATTTTTTAAACTTTTGATCACTGAATAACATTACTGAAATAGCATAATCGGAGAAAAAGAACGATTATAATGTTCGGTTAAAATCGTATAAACATGTCTTATAACGATGCTAATATTATAACCATCAAGCTAATCAGCAAAAAATGTCTGGCAATAGTCAATAATCTACAATTGTTTATTTATTCGATACGATATTGCACTACCAGTTTTTAATAATCACCGTGAGAAATAAAAACGTTTCTTTTTTAAGTGTTGATAAATCCAAGAATGGGCAAGATACTTCAAAATTAGTATCCAGATATACTTGATAAAGACACATAGATTTCAATATTGCAATACAAGATATTCGATACTTTCCACAACCGTAAAAGATAGAATTGTATCGAAAATACCGTCCAACCCTGGGTTATCAAAAATATACATATACACCTATTTAACCGATTAATATCTTTTTAATTGAATTACGCGGGTACTCGCATGCGGTTAGCAGAGTTGATTTCTGTTCCTCAATTATATACCTTACAGTATTAAAATACAGTTTTCGAAATATTATGTTATCGTCGAAAAATCCTCCCGAAATTTATATATCGCGGTATAAAAATAAATCGTCTTTTATACTTACGGTCCATCTTACAATTTCTAGCCGGGAATTCGTTTTTGTCTTAATTTAATCAAGTTATTTAATATAATTTTTTTGTTATTTCGTCTCGTTTATACAAAACTACGGATATAACAATTTACAAAATATTTGAAGTATAATAATATAATTATACATAAATTATTTATTATATAATAATATAGACATTCCGAGCTGACGATAATTTACGATTGTAAAATATTATAATATAATGATAATTTTGCTCGTCGAGGAAAACGTTTCGAATATTTGTGTACCGGCAAAGAAGACCGCGCGTGCAATACGCTGCAATATGCTGCAGCAGTCTGCAGTAGCAGTACAGCAGTAGTAATATAGTAGTCGAGGTCACACTTTTAATAATATAAATGTAATTTATAATATTATAGAGCGCGATAAACGTATTTTTATAAAACAATTGAATTCCAACAATTTCTCTAATATAAAATACGAAATTACGTGGTATCTGTGAGCATGGACCCGACGATGGTATTATATATTATATATTGCATCAGTTTTGCCGCCCGACGTATAAAAACCAATATAATAAACGACCGTATTTTTCAATGCACAGTCACGCGTGCGCAATAATAATAATAATAATAACAATATAATTGTACATACACATACGCGTAGGGAGCAAATATCGTTTTTGATATAATAATATTATGATTATTGTCGGGGTTGAAAAACCGAAAAAAAAAATAGTAATCCTTAAGATTATCCTGTACGCGTTTTTACAGCCGAGTAATTTATTTATCTCCGAGTTAGGGGCCAAGCGGTATGTGCGAACACGAGACTCCTCGTGTTTTTTGTCGACTAGGACTAGGGTATAAAATAGGTTTTGGGTTTACATTCAGGACATTGTATTGCCTCCGTCGGGGCAGTATCGGACCAATAAAGTCAATATAGATTTGTTATGTAGACCCGGATTTTATTGCGTGGTGCATTTTTTTAAGGCTGGTCTAAAGAATACTTAGAATACTTTCCAAACACGTAACTCGGTTCGTGTAACTGTAATTTCAAAATTCAAACTTTTATTTTAAATCTGTTTGCATTTTCGCCGTTTTTCCGTTTTTAGAGCATTGTATTACTATATTTCATAATACTGACTAAATAGGTTAACTTAAAGGTAATTTCAAATGTCATCTCAAGAAATTTTTGTTTTCATGAAATTTGATTTAATGGGTTTTAGGTAGTTATCTATATTCATAATTTTAACGTACGGATTTTCAACTGTCTTATTGGTTATTTATGATTTCGATGACGTCTATATTTATGAATGGTTGTGTTTCATCACTTAGGAAAATAAATAACAAATTTATTTGAAAATTTTATTTTGCAATAGCTGTTTTTATTTTTCATTTTCGGATTTTTTTTGGAAAATTTAAAACATATTGTTATATGTTTTATAAAAGTCTTTGAACCTCTTTAATCCGTATAAAATAAACTAGATAACATTTTCGGATTGCGCCGAACTTGAATAGGGTCTCTAAATACGCAACCCGAACCGTGGTATATCAATAACAGAACACAATAATATTATTTGGTATGCATAGGTACACCAGCTATACAGTGTGTTCCGTCATCCGAGAAAATTACATCCGGACGGCACTTTAATCGAAATCATCGGATTTGCTTATCGAACCTATCGAAATACCGTGTATGTTTTAAGCTGATTTTCAAACATTTTAACCCTCGCACGTTGCGAGAAATTCGGAATAAAACTTTTATGTTTTGTTCAAACGGCAACATCATTCACAATTCATGTATCACTAATAATAGGTATAACTTTTTTTTTTTTTTATCACAATAGTTCCCGGATATTATATAATCTGAAAGACTGCTGAACAAATATAATAATATAATATAACTCTATTTTCTCGAACTATATAAGTATAATTCTGTTATATTATTGATTCCACATACAGTTGTTTACTCGTACAACACAACATTAATTTTCTACATTTTTAAAGTCGGTACTCTGTTGTATACGGATCGAAGGTGGGTTAAAATAATACATAGAAAATTGCCTCGAAAGAGATTAAATCCACAAAAGGGGTGGTTTGTGAAGTGTATTTTCTAAACTTTAGACAGCAGTAACGCACATTATGAGCAATTTTTGAAATAGTACAAAATCACATTAATTGAATAAGTTGATTTGTAAAAAATAGGGCTATTCAAATCGACTGATAAAAAAAAATCTAATTTATATTTTTGTAAAATAGAGACTATTGCACAGTATATTGTGTCTTTATTTGTATTATATATTTTCCCCGCTACATTTAGGCATGGAAAATAGTGACTTTTTCTGGATCAAATGAGATCAAATTTGGGAATTAGAGATGTTTTGCTGGGGGATGAAGTGTTAAAATTGGGTTGAATTTCAATATGAATTTAATCACGATGTGTTGAGTGGAGGATGTTTTTTAGCTTTGTATTCTTATATACACTTTGACTTTTTCCAATTTTCAAGTATAACACTTTTTCTGGACATGTGTTACTTTAAGAAGGTAATTTTTTGATTTTGAAGCAGTTTTCAAAAGTATTGGAAAAAAAGTAAGAAAAACGGAAAAATTTACGAAAATAATATTTTTATTATTTTCAATTTTGACTTTTTGTTATAATTCAGTTAAAAATGTTCATAGTGACTTGAAATTTTGACAGAAACTTATATTTGCTTTTCTATACGTGATACAATTTTAAAACATTTGGGCCATTTTTGAGTTATCTATAGACATTTTAATTTTGCGAGTTTTATGCAATTTGTACGCAAATATTGTTAGACTAAACAGAAATGCTTGAAGATTCCAGAGGAGATTCATTATAAGTTGTATTTTTTGGTAAAAAAAAAAAATAATAATAAATAAAGATTGAGTTTAATATATTATTATTTTTAATAGTAATTTTTCCCGATGAAAATCGTAAATATTACAGGCTTTCAAAACATATATAACTGATGTTCGCACAGTATCGATTTTATTTAGAAATGGTTTATCGTTGCTTACGCATATGAATAAAATAACAGAATGCATCCTGTGTTCTCGACTTTCCACCTACAAGAGTGGCATCCCCGTCCCCTGCATCAGCACTTTTTTGTTTTTAATAAAAAAATATTTGAGGAAGCTTTTCTGATTTAATGTCGGAGCTATGCTGCTCACGAGTGGTTTATTTTTAGCATGAAATAGCTGAAAAAAATACTGAAAAAAAAAAAATGTCTTAAAAAGTCAAAATGTGTATCTTTTAGCAATAATGAATACATATTGTAAATAATATTAAATATATTAGGCATTGTAGTATAGTGGCCGATATGATATGTTCGTGAGCAAGTGTAGTTGTCGTGGACTTCTGTCGGCCGAAGCGGTGTGTTTGGGGAGGTTGGGAGGGGAAGGGTTCGGAACGAGACGACCTATGTCACGCGCGCGCCACGGTCGACTTTGAACGTGTGTGTTTCCCCTACCACTTCCCCGGTGCGTGTGAATAATTGTGATATTCCGCAACGAGAGAGGGGACGAGGGAGAAGGACCTTTTTTCGCGATCATTACGTCACGTTACGGGGGGTACACGCGTGAAATCACGTTTACTCACGTCACAAGAAAATCGTGTTGTATACGCATTAATATAGGACTAAGTACTACTATTGCTTAAAACAGTTATAACCAGGACTCGTATAACTTGTAGCTGTAAAAAAATGGTTGTTATACGCGCAATAATATTATTATGTTCTTACAATGAAAAAAAAAAACTCTCGTATTAGCGCTTAAATAATATGCACAATAAAATGGTAAATTACGTGAAAAAAGTATCGTACAAATATAGTTGATGTTATACAACTTTGACAGATTTAACTTTACAAAACAGACACGTAAATAAATGTTAACATAATATTATATATCAATACAAATTAAATATAAAAATACTTTATTATAATAATTAGGATTTCGTTATCTTTGAAATGACAATTACAAGTAAGTATATAAATATAGCGCTGAAAACACAAAATTAGCAAAGAAACAGCGACAACTGTAAATGCACAATTTTACTTAATGATTATCCGAGACAAATTTATAATATGTACTTAGGTAGGTTAGATTAGCCTCTAGGATCTATTAAAAAAAATATGCAAATGCTATAATAATATATTACGAGCCATGCTTATTACACCTCACGTCACTGGCATCAAAATTTGTATGACAAGAATTACAGCTATTAAAAGATATATTTAAAGCTACCTGAGAGAGGAGGACATCACAGCTGCCAAATATTCCGGATAATTTTGTTTATCTCTCATTATGGGGTATCTTACAAATTCATACAAATTGACGGTAAAGAAAAATTCAAATTTTACAGCGGTACTTGCGGAATTTAACTGTTCGTGAAAGTACTGTCTTTTTGATCCTGAATAAGCGTACTTTTTACCAATGGTTTTTTTTTTTTTTTTTTTAGAAATGTTCACACCTGTAATATCATAATATGATATTTACAATGTAATAATATCGTGCGTGCGTACGGGGTTTTTTTTATCGTCCATTCTTGCCGGTGACAGGTTTGTATATTATAAGTATGTAGAAGTTTTAACGATTTCTTTCCCACTCCCTATCGAATCTTGGTTTTTATGTTTTGTTTTTTTGTTTCTTTTTGATACGATATTATGTATTGTAGTTTATTCAAACACGAATCTTTCCGCGTCATATTTAAAACGACTACGTCCAACCGCAAAACAAAACTCGATAATATGCGTTAGTATTATGATATGAGTACCTATAGGTATCGTACGTGACGCGCGACAATATTATTATTGCTGCTGCTGTTGTAAGTCGGCAGCAATATAATATATTTTATGTGGTTGTATTTTTTTCCGCGGGCGTTTTATACTCGACGAAAAGCAAAAAAAAAAAATAAAAAAATAAAAAAAATAACCATACGATATTATATACGTTTATCATACACATATAGGTTTACGCAATATTTATAGGTACGTAGTCGTTGTCGACACACACGTGCTAAAAAACATAACGCATAAG